GCCTGGGCCGGAGGCCGGAGGCACCGTGGGGGCCGCGGGGCCGCAGAGGGGCGCCCGGAGCCGCCCGGGCTGGAGTCCGCAGGAACCCTCGGCCGGCTGGAGAAGCTGAGGACGCGCCGGGCAGAACGGTCTCCGCGCCGAGGGCGTGCGAACCTTCCCGACTGCGCGCGAACCGCGCCGCTGACCTCGCTGCGAGTCTCCGGGCGCCGGGGTGCTGCGGGCCCAGGCCGGCTCACTGCGCTGCCCGCACCACCCGGGCCCTCCTGAGAGTTCCCGCCGGGCTGCCGTCCCCACTGCCGCCGCGCTCCGCACAAGTCCTGCCTTGCTGTGGGCAGAGCCTCGCTCGGGCGGCGCGGCTTCCTGGGCCTCCCGGTGCCTTAGGGCAGGGGACCCCTCACCAGGGAGCCGGAGGACTGCAGCTCTGACCTTCAGCCCTCTTGGAGCACCGAGTCAATGAGGTGCCGGCTGGATGGCAGGAACTGAGGGGTCCTCTGTGTGCGGAGTGCCCCCCAGCAGCCCGGGCGGGGTGCCCAGTCTTTGGCTATGGATCCAGGTGACTTGGAAAGGGTCCTCTGGGGCCACAGGCTGCCCCAGGAATTCTTGTTGGGGTCTTAGGAGTGTGAGGGCTGGGGAGAGGAGGCTGGGACCCCCGGCCTCCACTCCCCAAGACGTGGGCGGTCACCCCAGGTCCCGGCTGGCTCCAGATAAACCAGCCACTGCCCGCTGGCTGTGTGCCCTGCAGTCAGTCTGTCCCCACGCATCCCTCCACCTGCTCATGGAAGGAGCGGGAAGCCATGAGCCCAGGCTGACAGTAGGCGACCATAGTCACCTGAGCGCCCGGGGCACGCGCCACGTGCACAGCAGAGCTTCGCCCTCAGCTGACCGAGGGCAGCGAGCCGGTCCCCGTGGCCATGTGCTGTGGGGCATCAGGCCACGGTGATCGGGCTCGGGCCAGCACCCTGCAGAGGACGCCGGAGGAGCCACCAGGGAGGGATTCCCTGACCATTCATCTGTGCCTCCCGGGGAGCCTCGGGAGGCCTGCAGAAGCCAGGGCTGCGCAGGGCAGGGACCGATGTGTGCATGGCGCCTCCCCTAGGGGTGAGCAAGCCGGGATTCGCAGGTGCTCAAGGCATTTCCCTCCCCATGGAAGGCGTCAGGTGAGCACAGGGAGAACGAGAGCCTGTCCGTCACAGGTGTCAGGTGCCACCGTGATGCCAGCTAAGGGGAGGGGATGCCATCAGTAGACACTGCCAGGGCCCTGCCCATGGGCACGGGGCCATCACCTGGCACACCAGTCCTCAGCTTCCTTCCTGGGAGCCTGGTGCAGGTGCGCAGGGCGGCACCCCGGCGCCCCAGGCTGCGTGGGGAAGCTGCTGGCGATGCAGAGCCCAGCTTGCTGCACTCCCTGTTCTTTGAGTGCCTCGGGACCCGCAGGTGGCTGCCCTGGCCCCCTGCTGACTAGTGTTGTGGTCTCATGACCCCCGTGGGAAGCCAAGACTCAGAGACTCCAAATTTGGGGAGCAAAGGCATTTATTCCAGGCCTGGCTGATGCAAACTCATAGGACCGGCCCCGAGAATGCGCGCCTCACAAGCTAAGCACATTGTATTTAAGCACAAAAACCACAAAGAAGGGGTGGTAATGGGGTGATAGTTAGTGGCAGCTTCGGATTGGGGGATACAAGTTAAAGGTTGAGGTGGTTTTACATGATTGGTATAGGACAGCACATCAAGCAGATGACGCATTTTTCTAGTGCACAAGGACAGTTGGTTTTTTTTATTATGTCCTTTAAGGAAAATATTATCTTGGTCTAACACAACATGTTTATCAGCACAGCATACCAGTCAGGTCACAAAGACTCGAGAGAAATTCCACAGCACAACTTGTTTATCATGGCTACTCAGGCGCATACAGAACAGCAACGTGGCGCAATAGCTAGGTTATAACAACTAGCCCCCCACACGCTAGCTACCCTCCTGCTCGTCTGTCTCACTGCCTCCCTCTCTTATCAGGTTCTGGGGATCACATTTCAAATGTGCTGGCACCCACTCCCTAGCCTCAGCTTTGCCTGGCAGGCACTCACATTAAGCTGCCTGAACCTCGTGATGACATTCCAAGCCTTCACTGGGTGAGAATCCTAACTCAGAATCCACAGGTCAAGGCCAGCGGGAGGCCAGATGCCTAACCGGGCACCAGACAGCTCCAGGCCAGCGCGGTGGGTCAGCCGTCCTGGGAGCCTGCGTCCTCCGGAAGCAGCTGCGGGGCCCCTCAGGGCTGTTTGTGACCGGTGCTGCGAGGTCTCCCCGTTTCAGGGAGACTGAGAGTCTGCGCTGGTGGGGGCTTTCCCGTCGGGTAGATGTGGGAATCAATCAACGATTTTAAAGCACCAAGGAGCCCAAGGGAAACCCTGCAGGCGCCAGGGCCCGCCCCAGTCGCCCGGCCTGTGACAGTGCGGTGACCGGCCCAGGGCATTCTGCAGAGGGGAGCTGTGGGGCAGAGGGGAGACCTGCGCGAGAGGAAGTGGAGAAGGCGGGCCCAGAGGGTCCCTGCCAGGAAGCAGACAGGGCAGTCGTTGCAGAGTCCACAGTGCGCTGTAGCTGTTAACACTCGGGGGCCAGAGAATCACTGTCCACAGAGAGGAAAGATCCAGGCGAGGCTGAGGATGGCAGACGGGCGGGGGTGAAACCAGGGCAGGCGGCTGGGGGGCCACGGGTCGGCGAAGCTCAGGTCGGTGGCCTTGTCCCTTCTAAGGTAACATTTTCTCAGTATTTTTACTTTTTTTTTTATATCTAATTATAAAATTGACACGTTTATCCTGGAAATGATAAAAACACAGACACCAAGAAGGAAGAAAAGAAATATGTCCTGTTACCTCACAACCCAGGAAGAGCCACTGCTAGCATTTCTTCCTGCCAACTAGGATCGGACTGTCCACGCTGCTCTGAAATCCCACGGTTTCCGTTCACAGCCTCCCGCGGGCACTTGCTGAGGCCCTGAGAGATTCTTTCAAGATATGTTGAATTTTAGTTAGGCTGCATTTCCCAGGAGGTCTGCACCCACCCCCCAGCCGTGCACGCCTCGTAACACCCCCCACACAGTGTGACAGTGACGTGTCCATCTCAAGGTGGGGTCTCCCTGCTCTGTGGGATCCAGCCAGACTTCTGTAGCTGCCTGGATTAGGGTTCACTAGAGGAACAGACTGATAGGACATATATGTGTGATTGCAGGGTCAGAGGTGGGACGTCCCAGGGGCCGCTGTGGAGCCGGGTGGAAGAAGGCACGATGGCCACGTCCACACTGGAGAGCGGGGGTCAGCGAAGGCCAAGGGCCTGGAGCTCAGTGTAAGTCGTGTTGGAGAACAGAAGAGACCGTGCTGGAGGCCTGGAGGGCTGACACAGCTGTCCAAAGGCAGGGGCGAGGCTGCGCTCCCCCAGAGAGGCAGAGCAGACTTCCTCCTCCGCTCCCTTGCGCTCCACCTGGGCTCCAGCTCCTCGGCCGGTGCCCTCACGTCCGGTGAGCGAGTTCTCCCCTGGGCTGGGCCTGCACGTCCGCCGTCCACGAACGTGCTCCGAATCTGCCCGTCTGCGGGGCACTCCCTGCCCTGGTCAAGCCCACACATCACAGGGAGCATCACACTGTCGCCATCAGTGAGCCCGGCTTTGTGACGAAGGCAGCCTGGTTCTGGTTCCTCCTTCCCACCCTGGGAGTGAAGCCTTCATGTGTGGGGAGTCCGGGCACAGGCAAGGCCCTTGTGAGATGAGGTCATAATTTGATGGCCCGCTGGGGGGAGAGGGGCGCGGGGTTGGAGCTTGGGCGGGGCCTTCCCCCTGGGCTTGTGCACTGTCTGTCCTACTGGCTGCCCCTGGGCACTGTCCTGTCACCCGCCCTTGTGTCTCACCACAGCCCGAAGCAATGGCACCCACAGCCACGGACAGAAAGCTCTGAACCAGAAGCCCTAAGAAGCCCTCCCTGGTCCACGCTGGCTCGTGCACGTTTTCTGTCGCAGCAGTGAAAGGACAACTGTCTCTGCGTCCCAAGGATGAGCTTGCAGAGGTGCGGTTCCAAGCGAAAGAGCTGACCGCAGAAGGCTTTGGGAGCGTACTGCTGAGCGGTCTTCCAGCACAGGAGAGCTGGTGAGAGTCAGAGTCTCAGCCGCCAGCCTCCGCAGCATCGCACCAGGCTTCCCCCCGCTGGCCCTCACCGGCCCGGCGTGGCCTCCTCGGGTGGCAGCTGATTCTGCTGTGGAGCAGCTAGCGCGGTGCTGAGTGGGGAGTCGTCCAGGACACAGAAGGATGAAGCTCCGACGTTGTTGGAGGGGCGGAGGTCCCAGAGCCCAGCGGCTCTGCTTAGGCCCGGGGACGGTGGGGGGTCCTCCAGGTGGATCACACCACACCCCACACTTGGAGCCTCCACCTCCCTGCCCGGTAGAGCTGGGACAGCAGCGCAGGGGCGGAGTGCCCCCAGGGGACAGGCCTGCCCTGGGAAAGGGGTGGGATACCCTCTGCCCTCTCCCAGCATTTGTGGTTGTGAAATTCACATCTGAAGAGAGGAGTTTGGTGGCCTTTAATGTATTTACAATATGGCGCAACCACCGCTCTGACTAGTTCCAAAACCTTTTCATCTGCCCGAAGGGAGCCCAGATCCCTCAACCACGCGCCCCACACCCTCCCTCCAGCCCTGCCACTGTCTTGTGCCCCGTGGTGGCCTGGCCGGGGATGTCACAGAAAGGGAGCCACGTGATGTGTGACCGCCTGTGCCCGACTCAGCCCTCCTGACTTGCGGCTGACGAAGGTGCACGGTGTGGACGGAACACACTCACCCACATGCGTGGACGCGGGCTGTCCCTCGTCTGTTGCTTGGCACCAGGATGCCTTTGGGAGCGTCTCCCTCGGAGTTGTTCTCTGCCGCCTTTCTGCCGAACCCTCCCAAGCTCTTTGACTTGGTTTGGAGGCGCCGCCCAGAGCGCCACCTGGCTCGTGTCGGGCACAGTCGGGAGTGGGCCTGCAGTCGGGCCTCGCTCACTTGCAAACCAAGACCCGTCAGTCTAGCAGGTAACTGCTGGGGCTCCTTGAAACAGACACCATAACTTGGGCTTGAAGAGGGCTGCTGGGTGGGGTGGAGGCGGGCCGTGGGGCCCTAGGAGGCACCTCTGACTTTGCAGGGGACATTCGGCCACGGAGCCTGCCCATCTCCCACACAGCTCCGTAAGTTGGGCACTCACCTGAGAAGCTCAGGGAAGGTGGCTGCCACCTCTCAGCACGAAGACACCAAAGACGGATGGGGACACTGGCCGTCCCCACTGTGCTCGATGTGGACAGGTGACACCAAGCGCCGGGCCGGGGCGAGGGTGCGAGGCAGCCGGGGAGGCGCCGCCACACTGTGCCTGAGTGCCGGCCACTCCTCGTGCTGGGCCACGGCTGCCCTCGGGGTCAACGCTGGCCCGTCCACGTCTTTCCTCCCAGGACTCCTACAGGGGCCAAATGCGCACAGTCAGGAAAACTGCTTACTAGTGCTTAAGAATGGAAACCTCTTAGGGCCAAACTCAATGGCCAGCTCGAGACGGTTTATTGGGCTTTGCTTTGCTTTGTATTTTTTTTTTTTTTTGGTGTTTTGAGACAGGGCTATGTAACTCAGGCTGGCCTTGAACTCTCTAAGTTATACAGGCTTCCCTCAAACTTCCAGCAGTCCTCCTGCCTCAGCCTCCTATAGTGCTGAGATTACAGGCATGTGTCACTTAGCCTGGCAAGGTTACTTTTTCTTCCTTAAGTGTTAGAATTTATTTTTCCACTTAAAACATTTCATTATGATAATGCACCAGTTCTTATTATGAAGTTGTAAATTTTTCATCTATTTCTGTTACAGTATTCCTCACTTGCCAGTTTAATCATTTATTAGCTCTGTGACCTTGGGTGAACTGTTTAACTCCCTCTCTCCCTCCCTCCCTCTCTCTCTCTCTCTCTCTCTCTCTCTCTCCTTCCTTCTCCTTAAGTTTCACTGCCACGTATTCATCTGCCCCTAACCCCACGTCACCCCTCCTCTTCTCTATGGGTCGCCTTTCCACTTCCACATGATCTTTTTTATTTTTTTTAGATTCTGAGTATTGGAGAAATCATGAGATTCTCGTCTTTCTGGGTCTGCCTTAATTTCCTTCATGGTTTTGCGTACTGATCTCTGGTTTCCTCAGTTTGTCTGATGTCTGTCCTAGTCTCCTCCTTACTAAGGCACAATCCTGCAACTTCAAGACCCCGAGGTTTATTTGGCCCCTAGTTGGCCTCTCCGAGAGAGGACCTCGGGGCAGAGGGCCCGGTGGAGGAGAGCGGCTCGGGGCGTGGGGACAGGAAGAAGCTCGAGGGGGCAGCTGGAGGGAGATGGACCCTTCCAGGCCACGACCCAGTGACCCCACCACCTGACAGGAAGTCGGCTAGAAGCCTCCGTAGAAAGACAGCAGGGGGGTCTTCGGAGCGGTTTAGACCTAACCCATACCAGCTTCGCTCTTCTCTGTGGCCAGCAGCTGCTGCGTGCCTGCACCACGTTTTCCCTCATCCGCCCACACGGGGCACCTCAGCAGACTGCAAAACGGGGCCGTGTGAGCCGTGTCGTGATACAGCTGGGCATGAGGGGTGTAAGGTACACTGACAGTGACCCTTCCGGTACCTGTGAGGGTCCTGGGCGAGTTCTTTTCGCTTTCTGAAGACCCGCCACGCTGATCTCCGTGGTGGCTGCACCAATGTCCAGTCCCACTGGCCGTGCAGAAGGTTCCTTTTTCCCCTCATCTTTGCCAGAATTCATTATTTTTTACATTTTGGGGCTAGCCAGTTCTGACTAGGTTGAGACAAAATCTTGCTGTAGTTCTGATTACATTTTACTGTTGGTTGGAGATGTTAAATGTTTTTCATATAATTTTTGGCCGTTTGCTCATCCTTTGAGAAGTGTCTGTTCAGTTCATTTCCCCAACTCTGGGTTGGACTGCTCATTCTTTGGGTGTTAAGTTTCTGAGTCCTATAAACATCCTGGATATCAATCTTTTGTCAGAAAAGTAGGGTTTCCTTCCATTCTGCAGGCTGGAAAAAGATTTCCTTCCAGCTGCAGGCTGCCACTGCTTTCTGTTGGTTGTTTCCTTTGCTGTGCAGCTGTTTTTAGTTTGACACAACCCCATTTGTCAGTTCTTGCTATGATTTCCTGGGCACTTCTAGGTTTTTATATTTTAGGTTGTTTATCCTCCCTTCCTTCCCAGCACCCAAAAGGCTGAGGCAGGAAGACTGCCAAAAGTTTGAGACCAGCCTGGCCTACATAGTGAGTTCAGTGCCAGCCTGGGTTACATAGCAGCCTATCTCAAAAAAGAAAAAAAGTGATGTCTTAGTCACTTTCTTGTCCATGGCACCCACAAGTTAAAGGAGGAGAGGTTTATTTGGCTCACAGTTTGTAGAGGTTTCAGTCCATAGTCGGCTGGCTCCAAGGCAGAGTGGATGGCAGAGGAAAAACAGTCCATGGCAGGGCAGGCAGGAGGCAGAGGGATCAAGGGAGGAGAGACCCTTCCAGGCCACACCTACAGCGAACACTTTAGGCCAAGTAATAACAACAAAGCAAAGCCGCATTCTAAGCCGAGTCTTTCTCAGTAAGTTCCCAGGTGTGTCACAGACACTGAGGGAACAAAGCCGAGTGTCATGCATGGGGACAGCTGGAGAGCTTGGGTCTGCAGGAACCTCTGCCTCCTAAGAATGGCAGCGCTGTCCACTGAGTTAGGGCGACCACAGCTGTCCATCATCCGCGTGTGACCACACAAGCTGCTGCCTTGCGGTAACGGACAGAGACCGGGGTCTGCTGGGACATTACTGCCTCTGCCTTTTGTGTTCTCCAGCGACTCTGCCCTTGAGAACTGCAGGGTCACTCATGGCAGCAGGTGTCCAGCAACAAGGAGGCCAGGCCATCACGACTCACCCTGGACAGGGACTGGGCCCCAAAGCTGGTGTCAGCGAGTGTCACAGGGAAGTCAGGCCAGAGGGGAGGTGTGCATAGCACACGTGAGCATGTGCACATGCACACACATGCAGTACTCACATACGCACATATACAGGTGCACTCGTGTGTGCGCACTCACACAGGGGCACACACGTACACGCGCACATGCGCACACAGACCTTACTGTGTACACAACATGGCATTACCACTCAGCAGCATAACCTTGCCCTGGTGTAGCAGGTTCTGCCCAGGAAAATGGCTGGGCCACGCTCCCCTCCCAGAGAGCACCCACAGACAGCGCTGGCTCCTAGGCGTCTCTGAACGCCCACCTCCACACCCTCCCTGCGCCGTTTCCTGCAGCCCTGAACACTCATGTCAAGATCCCAGCCAGGCCCACTCAAGTGTCTCGGGAGAACCCATTTGGGGTGAAACTCCCTGCTCCAAGGAAAAGAATGAAACTCACCATGGCTAGCTCCTTGTGGCACAGCCAGGCCCTGCTTGGATCCCCTCCCGACCGGGGGAACCGCAGCTCACGGAACGTGCGGCCGTGAACGGGCCAGCTCTGTGGAGCTCACAGCTGCAGCTTCACTCAGAGCTCCAGCACTGACCCTGCGTCCTCGTCTCCGTCCCGCGGCCGTTTCCTCAGCCCTCTCAGGAGATGAGAGAGAAACGCTGAGAGAAGGTGGAACACATAGCGTGAGCATCCACACACCCAGCAGAGGGCGCTGAATATACTCAGCAAAAAGGACGGACACACAAGGACCAGCAGAAAAACCACACACTCCTTCTGAGAAAAAATTCCAGAAATTGACAGGAGATACAAGTAAAGACGTGGAAGATTTGCGTACTGAATAATAAAATGGGTCCTCAGGGGTATCTTTTGGGGTGGAACACAACCCTAGCAGCGTGAGGACCTGGGTCAACCCTCCGCACCTAAAAACTATAACAAAAATTAAAGTAAATTTGAAAATCTTAAAGAAATAGATAATTTTCTACCACAATATATGAGAAAAAAATAAACCAACCAGAGAGAAAGCACAGTCAATGATCTGCCCCGGCAAAGCACCGCAGGATCAATGCCGTAGAGGACCGGAGACGCTTTGTGTTACCGAAAGTGTCCATCAGCCTGGACAACAGCGACGTCACCCGAACTCCTCGGATCTTGGCGTCTACCTGATACCAAAAGCGTCGATGAGAGGAAGATGATGGCCTTTTCTCCTCAGGGTACAGATGGAAAAACATCCTCCTAAAACCCTAGCAGGCTGCGTCCTGCTGCAGATTAGGAGAATGATATATCACAGATTTGTTCCACAGATGGACGGATGGTGCAACCTCAAGACACCCAATACTGTAATTCAGCGCATTAAGAGATTAAAGAGAGAAAGGCGCATCACTGTCTCAGCAGATGCTGAAAATCATTTGATAAAACTCAACACCCATCCCTGTGTTAATTTTTAAAAAGCAACTCCTAACACTCAGCAAGGAGACTCTGTGGTCTTTGTGATGGGTGTGGAGATTCCAGAACCGGCAGCTGGCAGGAAGAGGAGGAAGGATGAGCCATGGCGCGGTCCGGGAGAGCAGAGCTTTATCATCATCCTGAATTCTAAGTTAATTTACTTATTAGTAGGCAATATGTTTCACTCTTCCAAGTTCAGCCTGTAGAAGGCAGAGATGAAAAGCCTCCTCCAGCCCACTGTCCACCCCCACCGCCAGCTGCTCCCCAGGGGGCAAACGTGACCGGCCCCTCTGTTATTCTAGAGCTGCCGGGGCACTTGCAAGCAGATTTGCAAGACTGTATTTTTTACACAGTGGTAGTAAACACTTGTTCTTCTCCTCAGCAAAAGGTTGTTCATTCTTCTTTCTGGCCGCAAAATATCACAGTACACAAGTACATTTCCAATTTGTTCAACAAGTACTCTACACGGAGCTAAGTTGTTGCGGAACTTTGCTGGGGCGGACACCTGTGTGTCGTGCTGCACGTGTGCGGCCATGTGTGTGGGATCGAGCCTTAAAGGGTTCCCTGCCAAAAGAGAAAGCCTGCCTCCGCCGTCGGCGTCTGGGGGATCATCCATCATGTCCTAGACGGGAGTCTTTGTGGAAGGCGGAGGTGGTACCCCTGGGCCTCAGCGTGGGGCTGGCTGGCCGAAGGCCGAGCGTGAGATTCAGGGCGGGGTTTGCGTCCTGCAGGATCAGCTGAGGACCTGAGTTCAGCCACGCAGAGCCACGATCATTCGTAGGTGAAGGAGCCCCAGTAAAATCCCCGAGGAAGCCCGGCGCACCGCCTTCCCGCTGGCCGCGCCTGTGCCTGCTGTCACACGCTGCCGCCCCGCGGCGCTGCGCTGGGCCCGGGAGAGGTCGGCCTGCCGCCTCCGAGCAAAGCCCGATAAACTTGACGTTTACATGCATCAGTAAGTGAGCGCACAGCAGATTTTAACAAAACACCTGGACTGGCTTGGCTGTGGGTGTGGCAGGCGACAGGGTGGTCTTGGTGCCTCGGGGTGTGTCAGTGTAGTCAGTTGCTGTCTGGGGTGACGGTCCCGAGAACGAAGTGCCAGGGGAATGAAAAAAACAAGAGAAAGTTATGGGATCGGGGGCTGCAGCCTCTTGGACTGAAGCTTGCATTACCATCCTCCTTAGCCTTTTATTAGGATACAAACAAAAAGCAGCAACATGGCAAATGCGAGGAATAATTAACAGCATTGGCGAGGACAATACAACTCAATTATCACAGGAGTGAGACTTGACTTAGTTAGCCATCATGTTATCGTTCCTTCGGGCATATCTCAGCAAAGCATCTAGTGTTGTCCTGCGGCTTTCCACAGGGACACAGGTCCTGCTATCATTGCCTTTTACGCTAATGCTTTTGCTAGACTTCCTCCAGAATCAGTCATATGGCTTGCTAATATACAGACTGTCCTCCACAGCTGTGGAGCCGGGCAGCCCGGGAGACGCTGCGCTCCGCCCCTCCCTCGCCGCAGGCTGGGCTGCTCTGCCTGTGGACAGACCCCTCTCTGGGACGGCACCTTGGAGCACCGGGAAGTGGGTTTAATGGCACCGGTGACACCTGTCGTGGCCAGTGACGGGTCAGGCCTCCCGGAACGGCACCTCGCCCTTACCAGGGCCTGCGATTAGCCTGAGGTCAACTGCAGGGCAACTGGTCCCCGCAGAGGGGACTATGCCAAGTTCAGCAGCAGCGGTAGACTACAGGCGCCTTCCCGCCTTCTGAAAGCAGCTGCACACACAGAAAAGTAGAATCTGGGGCCGTGCTTCTGAGACAGAAAGGGACGGTGGGGAAACTGTAAACTTTCTGATCTTTAATTTAATGACATGACTCTTCCTGAAAAGCGGTTACTAAAGCAGAGGTGTGGATTTCTCTCAACAGTTCCAAGGAGCTGTGAGATTCTGTTAACTTACCACCAGTTACGTTACTGGGCTGAGAATAAATCGGCTGTATTAGGCCCCAAGAACTGTGCCTCAGCAGTTTCTCTCTGCTTCTCTAATATTAGCTCTCAGCTAATATTTAATAAAACCGGCATAAGCAAATTATCTTTGGAACAATGCACAAGAAAAAAGTGCTGGTCATCCTGGCAGAGAGGAGCCAGACGGGCGGGGCGGGGAAGGGGCCGACTGCACACTGCAGCTGTCCAGCACTGAGACATACAGTGCTTTCTACCGCAAAGGTCAGATCACCAAATAATAAAGGCGCGCAATTCCCACATCAGCAGTGTTACAGAGAACAGACCAAGCACGGGAAGAAACAGCACCGAGAAGGCTTGGAGGCAGTTTATCACACTGGTGGGCCTGACTGGGATGGCTCCCAAAGAGTCAGAGCCCTGCCAGGCAGAGTTTTGGGACTTCTATAGGGAGAGGGAACTAGGAGGTACAAAGGCAGATTTGGCGCATTGTGATTGGAGGGTGGGTGACATCATGGGTTGCTAAGGGAGTTTAAACCTCACAAGTTACATTGCAAGGCCGTCAGTTTAACAAGCACGGTTTACACAAAGGAAGAAATGTCCCGTTATCAGGCTTTTCTGGCCACGTCCATCTGGGTTTGGTGGGTGTTCTTGGCAGGATTCATTTAAAATTTGATTTCCCTTCCAGTAGCATCCGAAGGTCTGAGAGTCACCCATTCCCGCAGCCCCTTCACCGCAGGTCTTGCTGCGGCTCTGAGCTGCGCCGGTTCGGGGCGTCTGTCTGCTCGAGTCATGGTGTTGCAGGGTTTGGCTCCTCCACACACCACGAACTCTGCTCAGCACCGAACCTGGCTGTATCACAGCTCTCTGGTTAGCAACCAGCATAGGTACCCTCCACCGGCCACTCCAGGGGTTTAATTCTCTCCCTGTGAACTTTCTACTTCCGTTGCACTTGCCTGCTCTCCTATATTTTACGGCAGGATTCAATAGCTCTCTTACATCTGCTTTTCCCAAATCGGGAGATACATGCTGCGCCCCGGAGTTTGTTCTCTGGCTCTCCTGACGCTGTTGGCACAGTTATCTGTGTGACTTGGAGCCACTTGTGCTCACCCTAACTTTCACGCAGCTCCCCTGCCTGGGGGAGGGTGAGTGAGACTCTGCTCCCTCTGCTCCTGGGGCCGAGGCAAGCGGGTCTCACGGTGCAGAGGGGCTGCGCCCGCACGGGGCACACTTCCCTTTACTCTCGAAGGGCTGCCCAGCAGTACCCGAGTGAAGAGGCAGCCCGCAGAGCGGGAAAAGATGCCCCCGCTACTCCTCCAACAGAGGAATAACATCTAAAACAGGTCAAGAACTCAAAAAAATTAGACACCCCAAAAATAAAAGACCCAATCAAAAATGGACAACTGAAATGAGGTACAGATGGCCAATATGCATGGAAAAAACTGTTTAACATCACTGGCCACTAGAGAAATGTAGATTAAAACAACACTGAGCTCTCCTTTTACTTCAGAAAGAATGGCATCATCAAGAAATCAGATAACAATAAATGTTGGCAAAGCTACAGGGAAAAAGGACCCTTTCTACAGCACTGGTGGAGATGTAAACTGTACAACCACTGTGGAAATTGGTGTGGAGATTCCTCAAAAAACTAAAACTAGGAATTCTGTTCAACCCAGCTGTTCCCCTCTAGATGTCTTCCCGCGAGAGTTAAAGGCATCATATTACCGTGATCCATGCACACCCATGTTTGTAGCAGCACAGCTCACAACAGCTAACTCTTGGAAGTGGCCTGTGTATCTGTCCACAGATGAACAGATAACAGTTACCTCATACAATGGAGCACTACGTCACAGCTGTTGTGGTTTGGGGGATATTTTTGCAAGGAGAACAATATAATACGGGACACATAGTTTATAAGATTATAATAGTCACCCAAAGAATGACACACAAAAGAGTGCAGGAAATCTGTCCACACTAAGACCGAGAAAACTAGCCGAGGGCCTGGATCCCACGGAAACGTTCTGCATGAGTCCGGCTGAAGACCTAGAGCTCATAACAATGCCCCCCATGAGTCCACCTGGAGGCCCAGAGCCTATAACAATATCTCACGCAGGCCTGTTTCATGGATCTGCACTGTGAAGGCCCAGAGGTCAGTGGTGGAATCTAGGAAGTCTGTGCCAGCGGGATGAAGGATCTGTGCCAGCAGGCTGAGGGATCTGCACTGAAGCCAGGAAGCAACACTCAAAATAAGAACCAGAGCTCCCCCCGGAAAGTTCCACAGCCATCCTCAGTGACAGTGAGGTCCCAAGCTCCTCTGATGGAGAAGACAGCTGAGTTTCCATTAGGGAAGCCAGCGCATCAAGCTTCTCCTGGAGACTGGCAGTGCACCGTCTTCTCCTCTGGAGCCAGGACGCGATGCTCAGAGTGAGGATCAGAGCTCCCCCAAAGTGACCCGAAGCCATTCTCAGTGCCAGCGAGGTCCTGAGCTCCTCAGAGGATGAAAACAGCCAAGTTCATCAGGAAAGCCAGCACAACAAGCTCCTCCAAAAGAACCAACAAGAAGCTCATTATAGCTTCTACCAGCTCCCAACAGCCTCTCTCAGCTCCCAACAGCCTCCTTCTCCTTCCCCAGTTCTGCCTCTTATGCTGCTGGCAACAGTCCCCAGGTGGGCCTCCCACACCCAGTACCACGCTTACTCAGTTCACCTGGGGGTTATAAATTGACCACCAGTTATCAGTCTACTACAGCAGCAAAGAAAGATAAATGAGTCATTTGTAGCAAAACGGAAGCACCTTGAAATCATAAAGTGAAATAAATCAGATACATGACTTAAATATTGCACAGTTTCTCTTATATGAGAAACTCAAAGTATAATTAAATTAAAGAGCAAAATAAAAGACAAATGACAGAAAACGGGGAGATGAGTCTTTTGCAAATGGGAAGGGGAACAAGAGATGAGGGGGGCATAAAAAGAATTAAGATATGTTACACCCAAGCGCCATCTCCCCATGAAGAACTTAATCACTACATACTGCAAACATGGATTAATACAAATAAGAATGAGAAACTGGCTGGGTGGAGTGGTACATGCATGGAATCCCAGCACTCATGAGGCAGAGGCAGGAGGATCTCTGCAAGCTCAAGGCCAGCCTAGGCTATAGAGTGAGTTCAAATGAGTTCAAGACAGCCTGAACTATGGCGCAATATGCTGTCTCAAAAAAATACACAAGCATTTGTTTATGTGCCTCAAGTTCTGTGATGCAAAGTACCAGACACACTCCCTTAGGTCAAGGACTTCACCATCCGGGCTGTGTGCAGGGGGTGAAGCTAAACTAACAACGCCCAGCGTCCCCTCCACTTCCGGATGACCACCCTCACACCTCAGTGCAGCAGTCCTGATAAAACTCTCTGCTCTTTCTTCTTTCCTTCTGTCTCTTCACTCTCTTGTCCTGACGTCGGATAAAACGTCTTACCGTGTCGTCAAGGAATCTTTATAATTTTGCTTCCAAAACTGATCTGTAACAAGTTACTTCATTGTGTTCTCCTCAGTCTCTTCAAACAGGAAGAGGAATAATCATGAAAGCTTAAAAATTTGTTGTGAGTCTTAAATCAGGAGACTGGTGTGAAGAATTAGGCTAGTTCCTCCCGGAAGAGAGTCGATAAGCACAGACCGTTCCCTCAAAGCTGCATTTCACCATCCTCTAGAAGTCAGGGGTGTGTGTACGTGTGTGTGTGTGGGGGGGTATTGGGGATTGAACCTGGAGTCCTGGCAATGAACTACACCTCCAGCCCTTTAAAAAAAAAATGTTTTATTTTGAGACAGGGTCTCTCCAAGTAGCTAAATTAGCCAGACTGGAATTGAACTTGAGATCGTCCTGCCTCAGCTTCCCAGAGTGCTGGAATTACAGGTGTGCACCCCTGCACCCAGCTTGAGTTATTATTAGGGACTTTGACACCAATCTGACTTCCATGTCTTGTGGGCTGCGTCTCCCTCCCGCCCCCTCAGGCTCCCTCACCTTCTCTCCATCAGTGGGTAGAAAACTCTCAGCTAAACGCCTGGTGGCGTCTGTCTCATCCCTTGTGCTGCACCCAGCTCTGCGCTCCCAGGCCGGCCCTCCTCTCCAGCTCAGAGAGTGTTCTTGTTGGACCTCTGTGGACATTTCCGCTTCGGCTTTTCTGGCTCTGCTTCTGGGACTCTCTTGAGGCCGCACTTCCTGGGTGGATTTCTCCGCACGCTCCCCGTCTCTCACCCTCACTTCCTGTACCTCACTGGGTGCTGCGGGCCCGTCTCTCTCCCCGCGCTGCCTACCTGCCGGCCCGGTGCGCCCCACGTTCACTTCTCGCTC